GGATAAAACTGAGCACTCTTTAATTACTTCCTCTTCCCCTACGGTGATGCCCCCTGTGCGCTCCACAGCATATACTCTTTTGGACATGGACTTAACAGGACTGGAATCATTGTTGGAACCACAACCACCACCACCTCGAACTCTACAGCAACCACAACTTGGATCTGAAATCTCAATAAAGGAGTTTAAAACAATTATGGAAGACACAAAAACCGATTTTAAAAGAGAAATAAAAGACATGAAGGACATAATAATAAAAAGTGTGGGAGAATTAATTCAAGCCCAAAGTCAAGGTCATTATGAACACCTGGATGCGCAAATGGAATATTTTCTTTCACAAACAAAAACTTCTTTTGGTTGGAGATTGAAACACCAACAATCTGAGTTGTTAAAAGAGTTTGAATCTCTGCTCACCCCAATCACAGAGAGCATTTCCACCCTGAAAGAAGAGGTTTCACGCCTGCATGGGGAGATCTCGACCTGTCAAGCTACAATCACAACTATGTCAAAAGAAATTGTTACAAAAATTCAGCTTTGTCAGCAGACCACACCAGTGGATGAAACTGACCAGACCCTGTATCAAGACATTCCAGATCCAATGACACACATTAATAAASCGCGAATGGAATCCACGGTTCGACCTGGGTTAACAGGAGCCCGAATGACGACATGTGGCAATACCTTTGCACTAAACAGGACTCGGGACTTGGGAAAAAGTCCTGTAAAATTGTTGTTTCCAACATATGGCAAATTTGGAGATCCTTCTGATCCTTTGCAATACCTGGAACGGTGTGAGGATTATTTGGCATTGAATGCTTTYACAGATGAAGAACTTATGGCTACATTACGGAATGTGCTGCACGGAACAGCCAGAGATTGGTGGGATGTAGCCAGGCACCGCATAAATACCTGGGCTGATTTTCAGAGACAGTTTCAAGCTGCTTTTCTTTCTGAGGACTACGAAGACGAGTTAGCAGAAAGAGTAAGGACCCGAGTTCAAGGAGAAAARGAGAACATCAGGGATTTCATATACATGTACCAGTCTTTGTGCAGACGATGGAAACCACATATGGAGGAAGAAGATATTGTCAAGTTGATTTTGAAAAACATTGATCCCTCATTGGCCAGTCAGCTAAGAAGTAGCCGAGTAARGACTGTGGATGAACTTGTTCGTCCAGGGCAACAACTGGAGAAAGATAGAGACAATCAACAACAATATGACCATCGGAAACAGACCAAAATATTATCTAAACCAGTGGAGCATAGACCTCCTCAGCCTGACAACACAGCAAGACAAAAACGACCCAATTATAACCAGAATCATAACCGCCCCACTCAACCATTTTGTTGGCYTTGTAAGGATAATCACCCTCCTGCAACCTGCCCATGGGGTGGAAGTAATAGACCTCCTGCARCCTCAAACTCTTCCCAACCAACTAATAATACAACACTCATCTTGTCAGCTCCTGGCTCAGCGACACTTGGATCTCTCACAAACACTAGATTTCCCAGTGAACGTCACTCTATGCCTACTTCTTCCACAAACCCTTTACCAAGCCAATTGTTAATCCCCATTAGTGCAACCTCCTGGAAAGGAGCTGCAATTTTGGATACAGGTTCCTCTTACACTCTGATAAATGAGAAAGTGTGGAGTGAATTAAATGGAGAAATTCAACCTTGGACAAGGGGACCCTTGTATCTAGCAGATGGAGAAGGACGTCAGCCTTTGGGATGGAGCAAAATCCCCATTACCCTACAGAATCAGTCCGTTAATTTACCTTGTGTTATTCTGTCTGCACAACACCTCACTTTTCCTGTAGTTGTGGGTCTTGATTTCATTTCCCTCTCTGGCCTGCAGTTTGATGTTGCTGGAAAATGTTATTGGTTCAAGTCTAACAGAAAACAACAATATGATTTTTTTACCAGAATAGGCATCATGGCCAAAAGAGCAAGTGGCATTTTTCTCAGCCATATCTCCTGCRAATCTGGTTATGCTGGGGACAAATGAAGAACTTTTTCAGAAAGCAGTCACAAATGCACACTTGGATGAGTTTGGAAAACAGTCTTTATTGTGCCAACTGCGGAAGAATTCTGACATCTGTACCACCAAACTAGGACGTACAAATYTACTCAACCACAAGATTTACCTTTCTTATGATGTACCGATCAAACAGAAACCATATCGAGTTTCACCTGCTAAAGTACAGATTATTAAAGATCATGTAAATGATATGTTGGAGAAGGACATCATTGAGCCATCCACATCACCATATGCTGCTCCAGTTGTCCTGGTGCCTAAAAAGAATGACACAAAACAARGGTTTTGTGTTGATTTTCGGAAACTAAAAGCATGCACCCACACAGATGCCTATCCATTACCCAACATCCAGGACATTTTGGAATCTCTTTCTGGCGCTGTGGTTTTTACAACACTAGATTTGAACAATGGTTATTGGCAAGTCTGCATGGACCCAGAAAGCCGGGAAAAAACTGCTTTTGTGTGTCCACAGGGATTTTTCCAGTTTAAAGTTATGCCATTTGGACTGAAAAATGCGCCGGCCACCTTTCAGAGATTGATGGAAGTGGTGTTAGGTGAGCTCCGTGGAAAAAACTGTTTTGTGTATTTAGATGACATTATTATCTACTCTCCCAGTTATGAACAGCACAGTGTAGATATACAATCAGTARTAGATAAACTTCGTGAAGCAAATCTTACCATAAATATGAAAAAGAGTCAGTTTTTCTGTTCCTCCTTAAAATTCTTGGGACATGTTTCCGCATCCGGAATTGCAGTAGATCCGGAGAAAATTAAGGCTGTTCAGGAATTTCCTGCRCCCCAAAATATCAAACAACTTCAAAGATTTCTGGGAATGGCTGGTTGGTACCACCGTTTTGTTTCTGACTTCTCAACCTTGACAGAACCCCTAAATGCTCTGAAGAGAAAAGGGGCAAGCTTCAATTGGACACCATTGTGCCAAAGTTCATTTGAAACTTTGAAACAATATCTGATCTCTCCCCCCATCCTTGGTCATCCGGACTTGAGATTACCTTTCATTGTTTACACAGATGCCAGTGATGTGGGTTTGGGTGCGGTGCTAACCCAACAAACTGGACTGGGTGCTGAGCAGGTAATCGCTTTTGCCAGTCGTACCCTTAAACCAGTGAAATAAATTATTCAACAACTGAACAAGAATGTCTGGCTGTGGTGTGGGCCATTGAAAAATGGAGACATTATCTGGAAGGACGACATTTTACAGTTGTAACAGATCATTCATCATTGGTCTGGGTTTTTAAACATCAAAAACCCAGTACACGGTTGATTCGGCGGGTTCTCCGACAGCAGGATTTCTCTTTTACAGTTGAATATCGAAAGGGAAAATATAATACAGTTCCAGACGCTCTATCACGAGCRCCAATGGACACTGATAACCATTCCCCCTTTACTTGTGCAGTGGTACTACGGTCTATGCGAGATACTTCTCGTCAACTACTAATTACAGATGATGATATATGGAAAGCCCAACAAGAGGATTTGTTTGGACAAGATCTATATCAGAAAATATTGGAAAAAGGACCGGTGCAAGAAACCCCAACCATTAAGTACACCATTGTAGAAGACAAAATCTACAGAGTTGTCACAAGATTTAGGTCTCAGAAAAATATCACTCCATTCAAATGTTATCTGTTGCCATCTGTTCTGTCTTTTTACTGGGTGCTCTATTGTTAACTTTCATAAATCATACCAACTGTGCCTCCTTTTGACATGTCCAAACCATCTTAATCTGGCCATTCTATGTGATGTTTTATCATAATTCCTGGGACTCTTTCTGCACATTTTGCCACACTTCCTATTTTCCTGGATAGACTAATTGCAGCATAACTGTACTAGGTGCCTGTCTTTTATTAACTGTGCATTTACATGAATAGTTGAACCTGAGGTCCTATAACTGTGGCCTGTGCTTCTTGTAATCTCTCTGTTCCACCTGCCCCCTCTCAGTCAGACACATGTACTCTGTCTTACAACAGCTGAATTTCATTTCTCTTCTTTAACATCTCTGGAGTCCCTGCACACAGCATCCTGGTCTTATGACCCATATAAATCACTAACTCCTGCAGAAGCGATGGAGGTGGGAGGAGGAGAGCGAAGGTAGCATGTTCAGGAATGTAAACTCCTCCCGCCTCTCACCTCCACCGCTTCTGCCTGAGTTAGAATGAAGCTCAGAGGAGGGTAGTCTCTCGAGTTTTGGGTGCTGTGAGACAGCGCTCCGAACATGATCTTGCGAGACTTTTAACATGATCTTGAGGTGGAAAATAATGAATGAAAGACAGCTAACAAGCAAACAAAAACTTATTATTTTCACCTGGAGTGGGAAGAGGACTCATATGTAGTTCGAGCGCTGCCTTGTCCAAAAAGGATAATGTGGAACGACATTTCAAAACAATGCACAAATGCGGATTTCCTCCTAAAACAGCACAGCATCGATTTTCACACCAGAGGTAAGGCTAATGTAGCCCATCCTGCCTCAACACAAAAAAGGTCTTTCAGTGATGACGAAGTTATGAAAGAAGCGTTTGATGCTGCAGACATGCTCTTCCATGATTATAAAAATAAAAGTGAGATTGTGGCAGCTACAAAGACCTTGTCCAGGATGGTTGACATTGTGTCCAAATTCGTGTCCGTGTTTCTGCTGGTGTTGAAAATGAGGTTTTGACTCTGCAAAATGACATTGGGATCAAATCCTGAGCAACAAGTCGCATGGATGGAGAGTTCTGCAGTCTGCTGTCAGAGGAAATGTATCCTAACATCAAAAGATGTGCTTTGAACTTGACAGAACTTTTTGGATCTACCTGTGTGAGTCTGCTTTCTCTCACATGAAAATCGTCAAGTCCAAGAACAGATCCACAACAACTGATCATCTGGAAACCTGCCTGCGCCTCAACCACCTCCTACTGCCCGCCCTGGTTCCTCCTCTCAGTGTCAGAAGTCCCAATAAGGTAGACATTTATTTTTATATAGCCTGCATAAAAAGTTTTCTCCTCTAGATTTGTCACATTGTGTCTGTATGTTGTTTTTTTAAATATTTTTTACATTATTTGTTTTGTTACATTTTAGACCAGACTGACTGACACCTTTGTGTTTGTTATTTATTTATTTTGCAGTTTGGGTGTGCCCTTGTTTTCTGTACCTAACGTGTGTGTGTGTGTGTGTGTGTGTGTGTGTGTGTGTGTGTGTGTGTGTGTGTGTGTGTGTGTGTGTGTGT